AGATCTAACAGTTAATTGCCGCTAAACATCCTCCAACAATATTTGGTTGCACACAATGCACACAGCCCATGGATTTTTGTATCAAGCAGAAGCTTTGTGATTAGCTTCTGAAATATCCTAGGATATAAAGCGACAGTGAAGTGATCGGGCATGACATTCGTTCATGCCTTACAGTCGTTGATAAATTGAAGCAACATGTAGTAAAACGTCGGAAGAGGCGAATGACAGAGATTTTCCTAGCAAGAACAAGACCAAGAAAAATAGCGGGGCTGACATTCCCTCCCGTGCTAACAGCCTCCACGATCACAATAGCGTCGACATGAGCGATGGCAATCATGAAAAAACATTAACTTCCAAGTTAGTTAGAGTCGGTGGCTAAGGTAACAATTTTGTTCCAAGGTCAATTTTATATTCTGCTTCTTTCCTTTAATTGTGACCAAATAGCTGCTTTTTGAGATATTTTACTTCAACCCGAAATTGCAAAAGATGTAAGCAATCTTATTAAGGAAGAAAACTTAAATATACAAACCGAAAATAAATTGTGATACTCATTTCAACTTTGCAACTTTCATTAAGCAGAACTTTCTTCCTTGTATGTCACGCATGCAAAAAGTTAACATACACAGTTTACCTTTAAAACATGATCAGTCAGTGATCAAAGTGGCTTCAAAGACGTGACTATCATTGTACTAACATTGAAATGAAGATTTAATCCTTCACAACATTATAAAGGTAAACGACCAATTCCAGTTGGTATTGTACACAAAATCAGATGCACGTTTATTTTAAAAATCTCCGTGTAGTAGTTCTTGGGTTCATTATAATTCACTTTGCTTTATATAAAAGTGATATTTTCCCTTCAGCCATTTCAGAACATAAGCAATCCGAAAATATTAAAAAAGTCCGCATTCTCAAATTAATCGAAAACATAAAAAGTAGCAAATCTATCAATACATAGTCACATTTAACAGCACGTTATATGGGGATTCCAGAAGTAATGCGTAATATTAGTAGGGGCCATAAATCATACAACGAACTACTGCGTTTTGACATGTAGGATAAATAGCCGCGTTTCACAACTACTATAATTGAGATTCCGGTTTCGGCTTGCCATTGGATGCAGTCCGAGACCTAGTGTATGTCCAAGTACTTCTGCCAACTTCATCACCAAGCATCAGCGGTCCAGGTTTCAAATGTCCCGTGGCTTTCCCGGATTCAGAGAGACCAACCAGCGCCCACGAATCCAGTATAACCACGGCCTGTGATTTCGCGCAACCGCCATTAAACCATCAAGTATTGTCTTACTCTTGGTATTGGTAAAGGGGCGCATGTACTGTCGGCGAACCACCATTGCGGTGGTCGTCTCGGAAACCCTCAGAAACCCGTGCCAAATCATTCGCCAACTCCTGATTCACCTATCAAGCTACCAAGCCTTCTGCACGACTGCGGTAATACACCACACTCGCCGCAGATACAGAGGTAATGAATAGTTATTCAGAGGTTGACTTTGTATGTCATACGGCACTTCCTATCTTGGGAGATTGTCGTCATTGGGTATGTGCATTGCAGACAGGACCGACAACATTCGATATCATCACCTGAAATGGCGCCATTCTGCAACGAGATTTACAACTGGCTTCCTATCAAGGGGTGAAACTCAATATCCGCCTAACCCTGGTCGAAAAAGGATCACTGCAAGAGCTACCCCCTTCGTGGCAGGTTGGCGGGTCATCCCCACCCAATGGACAACAAAAAATCACCCAACACAGGAGCTCACATCCAACCAACAGCCGCACCACTCCTCCGTGCACCGCACCACACTAGGCATCAGATCATTTCGTTCGCATCACAGACATCAGGCGCAAATTACCCATATGAAAGTGTCTCGTCACTTGCCCCCCCAAACACCACAAATGGAAGCACTCAGTATGAGTAGGAGGTTTGATAGTTCACGGAGCGAGCTCTCCACCAAACGTTTTGTTTCTCCTCATTGCGCAACCCAAACAAAAAATAAAGCCAGCACACACTCAAGACAACATGTCCCTCTCCTCTGGGGTGTCGAGTCCCAGGGCCCGATTATGCCGCATAAGCGGAGTAAGGGTACAGATAGGAATTCTATGTAGGCAACAGGGAAGGAGGAGGTCGCCATATCCAACCTCACCGAAGTGAGAGGAGGTGTGGTGAACTCGGCAATGTTGCCTCTAAACACACAAACTAGCATACCAGTATACATACACATCAGGACAAGAAACCCCACACGACCTGCCTCGGGACACTCCACGAATGAGCCTTGAAGGAGAGGCAATGCTCCTTCACCGATGGGAGCTACACAATATACTGAGTGCCCAAGGAGGACGCCGTCGTCCATGACAGACCAAGGGGCTTCGAGATTAGGGTTTCGAAGGAACGAGGAAGTCCAACGGTCCTGATGAACGAACAGAGGTTCTTCAGTCATCCTCCTTGCGTTTACATCTACGTATTTCATCCTTCGCTCCTCCTGGAGTGTGAACCTCTGTTCAAGTGGGTGTCGAGATTGTTTCTTTGAAGCGCGCTCGGTTGGTTGTATTTGGAGACGACAATATGAAGATTATACAATTCTAACACAACTGCCTCATTCATACACCAAGTGCAGCTTTCTTTCCTTTCCTTTCTTTTATTTTGATTGCTTGTAGTATTGTCATCTTTGAACTACTTATAATTTATTTATTATTATCTTTCACAGAATACATCACCCTGCATGGAACATTACAGGCTTCCCCAGTTTTTGTAATCAGAAGATTCCTATTTTGGTTTTGAATCAACCATATCATATTGTCTTAATGTATTTGTAGGATATGCACTGATATCAAATTGTATGAATAAGCGTAGACTCAATGAACCCTTACTTGTGATTTTAGAAAGATTTTCAAATGTGGTCAATCGAAGACTGATTGATTCTTCATTTTTGACACAAGAATTACATTGTGTGTTTGCTTTTTTGTTTCTTTTTTGTAAAATAATCCTGTTATCAGCTATAGAGTATATTTCGATTTAGTTTTTGAAGAGCTAAAGAAGGTTTGACTTTGTTTACAGTAAGTAGCTTCCACTTAGTTGTTAACCTGCACTATTTTGGTTAGTTCTTGAACTAAGTGGAGGAGTAAAATCATGGAACTTTTAACATGTGGCATATTTAAAATGTATGATATAACACTGAAATCTACATAGCAAATATACTGATGTGTTTGTAATTTTTCAAATTTTATTGGCAATGGGGTTATTTAGTTTTAGGAATGATGTGTAAAGCTAGGTATTCACATTCAATAATGTTCTGCATAATCTCAAGTCTCAATGTAGACATTGTAAGTTAGAATCATACAAATATTTTCTTTGAATGCTATACAACCTTCGGATTTGAAATAATAAGTGTAGTATTAATAAAATACACACTTGTGAAAAATTATATTGTATCTATAAACAAAGAAAAAAGAAACTTTAATAAAAACTTAAATGAAATGTAGTAAAATGTAAAACAAAGATTTATAGCTTATAATTTTGGTTAGGATTCTGTATAAAAAAATAAGTAAGTTTACATATTGAGTATATTGTAGAGGTAGACATGATCATGAAGTATATATAATTTTGTTTTTAGCTCATGCTATATGCACATTCCAAATTACTTTCCATACATTCATTTTGTCTATGTGCATACCTAAGGCCTCTAATTGGCTGCTTTGCTTATTTCTTACAAGTGGATTTGTAGATAACTTCCTTCTTCTCTTTCTTGTCTCAGCACTAATCTCAATTCCTCTGTGAGTCCTCAACTTTCTTCTCCTCTTCTTGGTCTTGGCATAGATCCTAGTTCTAATGTAAGTTGCTAACTTCTGCCTTCTTTGTCTCAACAATTACTAGTTCAATTAGCAAATCAACCCATTTGAGGTCACTATTTTCTTAGGTGTGACTATAGCAATTTGATTATGTGTGTAGCCTTTGTTATCCATCACTCAATGCATAATTGGTATAATAGTTGAATGTGCCAATAATAGAAGTCAAATTTGTATTATTTAAATTGTGGTTATGTTTCCTATGATCACTTTGCAAAGTTGTTACATAGAGACATGTACATGTTTTCATTGTTTTAGAATTATCTATGAGCAAATTACTTCTTTTTATCATCTTAGCATCGAATAAATTATTGCATTTAATGCTTCATGAAAGAAAACAATGAGCAAGTTATGGAATAATTATGTAACTTAAGTTAGGACAAAAATAATTTTATTAGAGTTCTTTACATTCATCAAATATATCATGGCATGTTGTTGTTGTTGTTGTTGTTGTTTTTTTTTTTTTTTTTTTTTCTTCTTCTTTAATTGAATAATATCACACTCTAAGTTATTATATATTTTTGGATCTAATCTAGTGTCAATAGTTTGATGTATTTTTTCAACGACATATTATATGAATTAACTTCAATCTTGAAACAAAATCACTTGCGCAACATGGACAATTGTTGTTTGCTGTTTGGTATATATTTATTCATTCATTCTATTTTCTACCAGAAAAATTTAACAATAATGATTACCATGAACATTGGAAATGCATGCCTATTTGTGCTGCTGTTAAATTCAAAAGCAGCGAAGTTTATAATATACAGTGAACACATTAGTTCGACTATATTAGAAATTAATCCACAATGTACGTATAGTAGTCTAAGACTGTAAAGAATTATATTTATATCACCATGTTAAACAAATCAGGATAAAACAGAAATAACTATAGTATCTAAATTTAGGAACGTATAAGTTATTGAGTTTGATTCTTGAAGATAATATGAGAAATTTGTCAAAATTTGATAGTGTATCTTTTTATTTATCTAATTGATTAATTATATATTTAAAATAAGGAAATGTATGCTTGTCATCAAATCTTTGAATTCTTTCATTCCACAGTATTATGACACAAAAACCATTCTCAAATCACAAACAAAACACAGCACCAATTTCGTGGAACATGAACCACTGACAGAATAAATAAACTAGTTCACCATCTCTTTTTTTCTTTTTCTATGATTTGTATGCAAAGATTTGCAAAACAACACCCATTTGGTGAGAAGAAAAGCTCCCAACCCCAAAATCCACAAATAGAATCAGTCCACAAACTCAAATATCGCCACCTTGACGCACAGTCAGAGGCTGCAAACCCTGAAACGGAGTTTGACCTAAAATGGGGATCTTTCGACATCCGAGACAATCAATCGATGAAGCACGAATGTGGTTTATCGGATTCTCGATCACCGTGTCGAAGCTTCGATCGGTGCCGACGCAGCGGACTTCGTGTGCAACGTGCGCGGGCCATGACGAACTGGGGCTTAGAATCCGCAGCGCTGCTCCGTCTTCTGGAATCATGCGTGAATCCTGCGCACTCTCGGTGAAACGTGCCAATACTTTCTAGATCGTGTGGTGGACGGATTGCCGGCGGCGACGATAGAAACGCAAAAAACTGGGGCTCAATTCAAAGCCGATTTACTGCAGATCGGACCCTTGCGCGGAGCGGTACAAGAGCTGGTCAATCGTGATGTCGAAGGCGTCTCTGTAAGGAGAAACGTCGCTGCCAGGGATGCTGTAAATCAAACCTGGAATGATACTGTTGATAATCGTCTCCCTCATTGCAGACCTCTCAGCGGTGGAGATCTTCTTCAAGACGTCGATGACGTTGATCCGCCCGGCTCTGACTTCGTCCTCGGAGATGTACACTGACCAGGATGATTCGTTCTGGGGCAAGTGCCAGGGGTATTGTAGGTAAGCGGTTTGAGGATGGAATAGGACCGGGATGCAGCCTGCGATCAGCGAGTCGAATAAGGAGCGCCGAGTTGGGGAGTCTCCGACTGGTTGCATGCAAAAATGGGTCATCAGGAACGCCTTGATGACGTATGCCGGTTGCTGGCAGAGATTCTTGTTGCATTCGACGAACCTGCAGTCAGCCTCCGAAAATGCTTCCCGGCATTGCTCAACAAGCGCGCTTCGGACGTTTGCTGGGTCGTCGCGGCGCTCTTTCCCGACGAAGGTAACGAGGCTGGTCCGTTCCTGGCGTTTCACGTGGTGAAGCCATGCATCGATGTCGGAGGCCGAGCTTGGGTGGAAGTACGTCGGGTGCGGTGCTCCGATATCGTCCTTGGCCCAGGGATTGCGCTCAATCAGCACCCTCATCACCTTCTGGAGGTCAGGAAACTCGAGTAATCTGCTTCCCCAGCTCCCAGAATCCTGACGTCGGAAATCCCACGAGATTTTCCCCAACACAAGCACATGATCGATCCCTCCTCGTCGTGTCCAGGAAGGTTTATTCTCTAGCCAGCGTACGAGCTTCCACCCCAACGCATCGCGGTTCTCATTTGTAGCGTTTGGGTCGAAATGCCACCGAATCACATCCAGACCTCCATAATAAGGGATATAAAACAAAGATGCGAGGTCAGGATCCTCGGTACGGCACTTGTATTTCATAATTCGAGCATGCGAGATGAGCTCCAAAGCATATTGGTGTGTGCTGAACCACCGATCGGCAGGTACGAAGATTTGTGTGCCGTTGTCCATTGAGTTTACAGGTTTTCCTATTCCCGAATCGGAGAAATAGTCACAGAGATTGAACCATGGGAACAAGGAGTCGCACCTGTTGATTAGCTCGGTATTGAACTCTGAGGGAAGATCATAGACGAAAACATATTTTCCTTCACACGATTGCGCAGTTTCGCCAGTTTTTTTGATCGAGTATGGCAACGAATTTGCCCTTATCTCGTTAAAAATATCCATCGCAGCTATGTTGACTTCCGTCATGCGATCTCCTGTGATGATTGAAGCTTTCACTTCTTGGACTGTAGCGTTCTGGTCATCACCCTCGGTGCTATCCAGAGCTGGGGATGAGTTCCCTTGTCGATCTGATTCATCAGACTCTGCTGTGGTTTGATCATAACCATCAGCTCCGTCCCGTGTGCTTTCTACAAGTTCCTCGTTTCCGACATAACCAGAACGAGCAAAGACCTGTTCTTCCTCATTTTCGTCGTCCTTCGGACGCTCCATTACAGGAGTCACCTCTCCAGCTTCCCCTCTGTCTATGCCGGACTGCGCGCCATAGAGGTCTTCATTTCTTTCAAGTGTGGGAGTCGCGGTCATTAAATTGTCATACTGCTCTGCAATTAAGTCTGTATCATGTCCTGATTGGGCTGTGTCCTTGTCGACTTCGCCATCCTGAGCATTTATTCTCTCCTGCAAGCGACGGCAAGGGATTAAGGCTTACTGACAACTTTTGCAGTAGACACGAACACCAATTAATTTGGTAGAAGTAGCGCCGAATTTCCACGAATGATTAGAGTAAACTACAGTTAACTTTCACATGAAGGGTCCGTTTCTACATGAAGTACAATCCACTTGGAGATTTCGTCATCACCTTCATTGATCAGAAATCTGATTACTTACAGACTTAGCGAAATCTAAAATTTGCACGAAAGTTGGTGGTCAAGAACATATACAGTAACAGCGGAAAGGCTTGTTCGAAATCCTAAAAAGGTTGATTCAGCCAGCACATGTGATGCAGAGACAAGTGGCCATGCGTGATGAAGGACCTAAGAGATTAACGTAGGGCGTTCATGATGTGAAGCAACAAGAAGTGAAGAAAATCGTAGTCTAATGCAGCTCAAAAAGAAGCTAAAAAAGTAGGAGATAGTACAATTTCTTCGACAAGCACAGTACAAACCGAGAATTTTAGTGACCTAAGAGAAATCTTTCGATGAAACAAAAGGGTACCTTCAGCTGAAGGATAGTGTGTGCACCCATAGCTTCATTCTTCGACTTTGTGATGTCGTGAACCGGCCCAATGTTTACGCCGTCGAAGGGTGCCTTGGACGATGAATTCCACACGACGAACAACAACAGTAGGTAGAACGGTACCAAAAACTTGAACTTCGCAGCTCCTAGAGTTATCTTTGAAGGCGCTACTCGGACGGCATACTTGTCACCCATTCTATTCTGCAGCTCTCTGAATCAATCCTGTGAGTCAATCACTTGCACACCCAATACTGTACATACCCCTTATGCAAATCTCACTGGATTGCCTCTCTAGAAGTCTCGGATGAAGAAGAATGGGTGGTCGATCATTGGCTCGTCAAGCTTCCCCTTTCCATCGCTTCTTCTACGATTCAACTACAATGGTCATTCTCTTGAAGGCAGTTCATCAGCGTTGGTTAGCGTAAACAAAGCTGAGTGGCTGCAGGCTGGTTCTCGATGTAGTTGCTATACATGAACTGTATACGTATATCGAGAAAGTTCTGGCGACTGATGTATGTGCAATGTGATTGCCGCTATTGTTTCTGTGAAGGCAATGACCGCTCCGAGAAATTTCTTATATACGGTATGTCTCGACCAGCTTTAATTGGCTCTGGGAAGAAATGCAGATGCAATGGCCAATCGGTGAAAGAGTCAAAACTGTGACAGGGAACAAGCGAATACGTGACCTACTTTCACGGCCCCTTGGGATTACCTACTCTAATAGCATCACCCGATTATTCAAACCGCGCAAAAATCAACCAACCGACCAACCTACCTCCACTCCAATAGAACACTCGAGAAAGCTATAAACTGCAAGTACAATGTCAGGAGCGCGTCCTCGTACTCACGAAACGAAACGTCCAGCTAATCTGTCAAATCTTCAACTGTGTACGAGAAACTAATCACTGCGACGCATTACCCTCCCACGCATCGACAAGACCCTTTCCTGGAAAACCATCCAAATATATCTGCATCAATTGGGGGAAAGAGTGTCTCTAGGAAAAAAAAAAAACGAATCATCGAGCTACAACCGGCAAACATCTGAAAAACACTCCCTTTAGGTGATCCCGAAAACCCACAAGCGGAGGAGACGTATGTCGATCTCGCACACAAATGTCACCGCTCCCCACCAACTCAATGGCGAACTGCAGCAATCCTGCCAGCGACGACTCTGGCAGCTCTGCAGAAGAGCAGAAAGACTCTCGTTCGGCCCGGCGCGAATACCGCAAGCTGGCACACAGGAGACGATTCATAGCTGGTGCCAGTAGCGGTGGGCTAAAGCCTGGACGAGGAAGACGAGAACCCAAGCAAAATTCTGTTTGACAACATCAGCAGCTCCAGCACTGGCTCCAACAGAATGCTGCAGGCGCCGAGACTGGGTGAACGTCACACCCATCTGTTGTCGCTGCTGCGAGGGAGTTGGATCAGGTGGTGGCGTAAGCGTGAGTTGGCAATTCCAGGCTTTGCCTTCATGGCGAGGACCATTAGATTCCCAAGACCAGAACCTAGCAGCAGAATCCAGTTGCAGGAGGAGGAGGAGAAGGAGGAGAGGAGTAACAACAATGGATACCTGCAGCAGCAACAGCAGCAGCAGCCTAGGAATCGACGCAAGCCTCACTTTGATCTACTCCCCTTCCTTCCCCTTCCCTGACTGTCTGTCTGACTTCGTGTTCATGTTCATGTTCAGCTCCAGTTTGATTTTCCCTTTAGCGATCTCCTGTTTTGCATGCCCCAACACATGAAATTGCGTGCGTGAAATTGCATGCCAGTCAACTGTTGTTTCTTCCCCTCCCGGTTCATTTTCTTGCATGAAATCTGAATTTACAATGTAAGAACCGATGAGAGGGACTGTTTATCAAGGATTTGGTGTCGTTCCATAGTGATAATATATATATATATATATATATATATATATATATATTTATATATATATTTATATATATATCGTGTATTTTATTACATATTAGTGGGAAATTGTGAAGTTTGGCACTGCAAACTCTTGCACATCTATCTATTCACTTCCTCACATGTTCTCATATTCCATGGTTCTCTTGTTCTCATATTCTTGGGTTCCTTAGTTTCTTGAGTTCCCTTTGTTCCCTTCTTCATGGCCAATTAGAAGGCCTCTTTATCTCTTTCTGTTATACCCAAGTTGTCTTATATTATAAATTATATGATTCAAATTTTAAATTGTGCATAAAAATTTATAAATACATTTTGATGACTATAAACTATTATAAACAGATATATATATATATATATATATATATATATATATAAATGTATGTATGTGTATGAACAATTTTTATGAATATGATTTTAGCAAAAAAATATTTTCCTTCATGAAAATTTTATCTTTATAAAACAAAACATTATTAACCTATATTGTGGTTATTAAGAAGAGGTAATAGCTGAATTTGATAATTTTAAAGCACCAATTTTTTAAGCATGTTGATAAACTCTTGATTGAAGTTAGTTTTAATATGTAATTTTAATGTTGATCCAAATTCTCATTATCAGATCCCATCATTTTCAAATGCAAAAATGTGCTCTCTTTTCAAGTTTTAAATTACATTGCTGGCTATTATTTCTCATTAGTAAGAAAAATCTTATTTTTTTGCAGATTTGTAAGATAATCATAAACAAAACTGTAGAAAATATATTAGATACTAATATAATAAAATCTGTTATTTAAGAATTATTATCATTATTTTATATCATACAAATATTAACATAAATGGTTTTATCAAAATACTGCTGTATACGTATGACTTATCTGTCCACAGCAATTTCCTATATTTTTAATTTTTAATTTTTTAAAAATATAATTTTGGTTTTGAAAATAATATCATATATATATATATCAAAATAAGAATTGAAACACAAAACCAAAACACTTGCTTAAAGGCCCGTAATATTGAAATGAAAAGATAATCTAAAAGGTAGTAGCAAACTCTAAATAATCCCCCCCTTGTTCAAATTAGGGTCTTATATGTTGTTGAAGTATACACACACACACACACATATATATATATATATATATATATATGTTTGTATACATTTTTTTTATATGTATACATACGAAATGAAGATATACAGCATCCAAGGGTGTCAATGGACGGAGAGAGGACTGATTCCTTGGACATCAAGGATAAGACATAAATAATAACAATAATAGAATGAGCACATCCAGATATTGATTTATTTATTTATTTTCTTATTGATTTATGTCCAGTCCACAGGTTGAAATCTTAACTCCATTGCCAGCTCAGATTCTGGTAAGTAGCAAATCCGCATCTGACATGACCATAAATGTCATCCCATTCTGTGAATTTTGCTTTGCTTGCACTGCTGCTATTTCTTTTATAAAGTATTTACTTTTTAATTATACTTGACTTTTATTATACTTTTGTCCTCGAAATTAATTGGGATGGACCTCAACACTGCCAGGATTTCAAGCACACAGTACGAAAGGGGATTTAATTGGGTCTGTGGCAGAAATAAAAGTGCAGCAGCAGATGTTATTGATATTTTTAGTTTGACTGGTTGATCACCCATTTCAACTCTTATTGTTTTTTGAGATGGGTAAATAATTCCCTGTTTGTTTGTTTGCTTGCTTGCTTTTTTTTTTTTTTTTTTTTTTTTTTTTTTTCTTCTATTAATATTTTCTTTTACTGCTCTTTCCAATGCTAAATCTTATTCTTGGAAATGTTTCTTAGCTGTAATTTTGCAGTTTTATTGTTTGATTTGAATTTCGTAGTTGGAGGAAACTGCTTTCTTTCTTAAACTATTCTTCCTGTAGTTGACTTTTTAATTTTAATTTTAATTTTTTTTTTCTGCACTTAGATGTTATTTTTTAAAAATTTTAAACAATGTTTTTGCTTAGGGGAATCTTTTTATTATTATTATTCTTGATGTTTTAATCCATATTTGTAAGAGATTATAGGCCTTTTAATGACTAACTTTTTTTCAAATTTCCAACACTACTAGTGTATCAATGTTTGCATGTGTTTTTGCACTGTGCATGTTATTCTGAATCTATGTGATACTTGAAAGGATTTATTTATTTAATCACATTGATTTGATCATGTGTATGATTTCTACAGTGATTAGCCTCAGAGTGAATTTATTAAGCTAACAAATAACAGACCTAGTTCCAATGTTTAACTAATACAGATTTTTGCATTGTTACTTATTCAAGACACGTTAGAGCTTTCAATTTTAACTTTTCAACGTTGTTTTTAAGTTATGCAACATATGCATCCAAACTTCAATTACAATCTATCTAATTTTTTAAAATATCTGTAAATTCCATTTGTGCTTACAAAAAAATAATTGTATCTTACATGACTCAAAAAATAAAATTAAAAATTCTTAGATTGAAAAAAATTAAATTTTGTGATTCAATCCATGATCATTTAAATATAAATAATACTAATTGCATATGTTTTTTTTTGTTTTTGTTTTTGTTTTTTTTTAATTATTAAAAATCTACTGAAGGTAATTGTAAATTCATGCAAAATTTAATTATTTTCAGTGCATTGTTCTCTATTTTGTAGTTGTGTGTTATCCACAAGGTCAATAATATCATTTTATCCAAAGTGGCAAGTACAAAAGCAAGTAAATAAATAAAAGAATACAAAACAAACTTAGAATCTTGTCCTTGACATTTACATGTATTTTTATTTTAAAATCCTGTTCAGAAAACGTTTTCTGAGTAATTTGTATTGATCTTGGATTCAATATATAAATATATAAATATAATTTATTATTCAAAAATTTAATCTTTAATGATTAGTTTGAAATTATTTAAAATTATTCTTCGATTTTTTCCACCACTGCTCTACCAGATCAACAGTTGGAGTATACTTTAACAACTTGATTAATGCTAATGCAATATTAAATTGATCTTTTATACGAACTATTGGAACTATTAAAGCTCCAATAGTTCGTATAAAAGATCAAATCAGATGTGTTCTATGCATTTGGAACAATAAAATTAGTTTGTTTTGAATTTTCTAAAAAACCAAAGTACACAAATGATTTTGGCCATCTTTGATCATCAAGAATATATTTAAGCAAATTAACACAATTTGTTATCAAGGAATTGTCAAATTTTAAAATTATTTGTTTGACCACATATATTATTATCAATCAATTTGGTTTTAAAGATTGGTGTGACAACATTTAGTGAATAAATTGGATAGCACCTATTTTAAAGATAAAATGATTAATTAAAAAATTAAAAAAAAATATTTTTTTAAAATATTATATTAAAGAATTTATTTTTGAATGTTATTATACATCCTAAAGTGCTCTTAGATGGTATTGAATTATAGATTTGTAGTTTAGGTGGTTTGATTTTTTGTATATTTAAGTTCTGATAATATTTTAGAAGTAAATAAATTACAATTAAATTTTATATTAAAATAAAATAATATTTTATTTTTCACAAATCAAATCAAATAGCTTCATGTTAATTTCTTAATATAAATCAATGATCTTGTTTTTATATATTTATAGATATATACAAATGACTTACATTTCTTAAATCAACGTGCTCTCATTATTTCATGAAGTTGTAATAAAATTTAACTTTATTAAATTATAGTGCATATCAAGTAAGAATATAATTATAAAAAGTTGATACTAATATTAAAGAAAGAATAAGCTAGTAAGAATATTCATACCTAAGATAACAAAAATAAAATAAGCATTGGACTTGAAAAAATATATACAATTGTAAGTATTAAAAATAAAAAATTGATAGGTGGACATTCAACTTTTCTTACATGGACATCCCTCGCATATACATGCTTGTAAATAAAAACTAATATTTTTTAGAAATCATGATTTTTATTATATTTATTATTTTAATAATAAATTTTAATATATCCTTATCCATTTATATTCTATGGTTCTATATTATCTCAACCTTGAATTCTTTTCTTCTTGCAAGCTTATATATATATATATATATATATATATATATATATATATTAAATAATTAAAATACAAAATATTATATTTTATTTTTCTTATTATTCATCAATTTCAAATAAGAATAATAAAAAAATTATTTAGAATCAAGATTTGTTATTTTTGAGGAGGGTATTATATATATCTTTGAAATTTGTTGAAATATCAAGAATATTCTTATATTCTTGATAATTACAAATCTACCCTTGAACTTAATAAGATATAAGTAAAATCTTATTTTAGTTGAATCTATAGCCCAAATCATATATCACACAAATTTTGGCACAACACTTTTTGCATTCAATTTCTAGTCTACTTTCTATTCTTGTAGGCAATTGATTTTTTAGGTAGTTTTTTTCATCTCAAAGATAATTCTTAAGCACATGTTTATAGGTTTTTTTTTTGTCATAGTAGTCATCTTTGAATTTCATATTCTCACTAGTTCTTTTTTTTTTTTTATAAGGTAAGAGGCTTTTGAATGTTACTAAATGTTCTATTGTAATGCCAAATTGTTGAATTAAAGCCCTAGTTTATTTTATAGCTCAAGATGTATTATACTTTTGGCATTCTTTTTTCACTTTTTTTTCATAATAGGTTAATTATAGAGATATTTTGTGCTTATAGATCCTACTTCACATGTATAATTTAAAACAA